GGGTGTTCAAGCCACGCAGACGACGAGTATGCAGGTCCATTCTAAGCGAAAAAGTAGACCAACAGCAGGATTCAGTGTTTAGACCCGCCCCTCCCTCCCAATCTGGTCCTCCAAAGGCAAGCGAATCTTATACGTAGCAGAATGATAGTTTAGCGCGACGAGTAGAACGTAGTGGTTCCAGGGGAGATACAGATATAGATTTGAATCAATAGGTGGCTTACTCCCAGCAACACTAGGTACCCACCACGACTCGGACTCGGAAGCGATGTTGGCAGTCCACTCAAGTATGCGAAGAATCGGGAACCAGAATATCGAATCGATGTACAGATAGCTCTTGAAGAGTACAAGGTACAGGAGGTGCTTGAGTACGGTGCCTAGAGGAAAGGTAGGTAGGGTAGGTAGGTGGAATAACCTTGATGCAGCAGTAGAGAACATGATGGATGTGGTTCTAGTCGTTTCAAACTCCGACCTCACTGACAGCCGACAGACGCGTACTGCACGTGCGCATCCGCGACTCAATACCGCGCCTGTCAGTGTCACCTTGATTGTTGTCTTGCTCCTCGTTCTCTTGCCTACCAATGACTCATCTCACAGCCTACAAAATGCGGCGACTTAGAAAGTTAATAGTTCCTCTGGTCTGAGCCAGAATGGCATGAAAATGCAAAATAGTATATCATGCAGGGGGATAATACTCAGCTTTTCCCCTGTGGCTCACCGAGAAGAATGGTGAACCGAACCCCAGCAACAAAGAGGAAGGTCAACCTTACGACTAACAGGCTCACATAACCAGTTTACCGATTCCTAGATAGATTCATGCTAAGCATCAACGTGGGGCGTATAGAATAACTCGGAGAGAACAAATATACATCACGCATTCCGTTTGAACCGATTCTAAGTCAATGGCTTTTGGTTCTTCCCCACCATCAGAAGCCGCAATCCTGCACGCCATTGCTCCTCTTTTGTTTCTCCATCTCGCCCGAAAAGCGTCTTGAACTCTGGACTCGGGGGTCGGAGCTTTCGGGCCGATATTTCTCACGACTCCTTTTCCATCACACTCATCAACAGTGTGGCGTGCAGATCTCATTCTCAAGATATCTACGACGATGAACGTTCGGTTCGCGAACATTGGTGGCTTCGAACCGGCATACAAACGTTATTGGAACTGGTGCCAAATGATTCTCCGCAGTAAGTGGAGGGACCAAGGTACATACACGTTCCCAAACCTTGAGCCGAATACTGGCAGTGTATGTACTACAAGATTTCCTGGGGTGAGTACCTATTTATCGGTTGCGATAGGTACTTGGCATATTTTCTCATCGATGTTACTTCGACACTGACGGTACCTTTGTGTATTTCAAGTATCTTCTGCGGACCACGTTGGATCTTGAAAACCGTGCCGCCTGACGTCAAAGTCTCGGAAACCAAGGTGGAAGCTGTCTCAATACATGTTCTCATTCCCTACCTCACGCTTATCCAGGTTACAATCATGACGGAGTTCTTTCCTCAAGAGCTCGTCGATGCAATAATCGACGAGGTCCAGGACTTCGATGATCTCAAAGCTTGCTCGCTCACCTGTCGCAATTTCTCCTCACGTAGCCACTCCCTGCTCTTCCAAAAGCTCAACCTTAACGGGAAATTCCATCTCGATGCGTTCCAGAGATTCCACGACCCATGTATTGAATCCTCACATATTCCTCCCCTTGTGCGGACACTCTGCATCCACGAGTATCATCGTGGCTCCGCTCTTCGTGATCGACCCAAATCCGACATCGTCAACTCTCTTCTCAGATTAATGCAGAATCTCGAGGTCATCAAATTTTACAATGGCACTAGCTTCGTCGACTTCTGCGATGGATCATTGGCGCGGTTCTCTTCTCACTCATTCCGTGAAATACATCTTTATGACATCTTCTTTCTCAAGAATGGGCTGGACCAGATGTATGCTATGTTACAAGGGTCTCCAAAGTTGGAACGGCTAGTCGTGCATCATACTGGCCCGTGTGTGTTACCTATGTTTGGAGGTGATGAAACTAGCCAGTCGAGACTGGAACACACACACGTTACGCGTCGTGGACCCCTTATCCAAAACTTGAGTGTCATGAGTAGACCTTCATACAGGTGTCCTGCCTTCATCGAAGCGATACTGGAAACAAAAACCTGTCCTGTATCTATCAACGAACTGCATCAGTTTGCATTTAGTCTTAGCGACATTATCGACTTCCAGCATCTCGACAAAATGCTCGCCTTGACATCAGACACGCTTCGCGTTCCGTCGCTGACATTCAATTGCCGTGAGTATTTGTATGAGCCTTTTTTTGGTGTATATTATTCTCATCAGAGATATGGTAGCAAACGCACTGCACTCTCATCCACTGGACAGACTTCCTATCATCAGAATGGGTCATTTACGAAAGATTACTTTCGTGATCACACATGGGCTCTATGGGTTTTACTACCTGCAATGGTGGATCCAAAGCCTGAAGAGAGTGATAGCTTCCGACGGAAGGCCAGCCTTGCGGATAATGGACATCGAATTAGGCCATTCTTTCAGTTTGGTGCACCCCGCATTGCACCCAGAGTGGAACAAGTTTGACACGATACTCGCCAGCCTGCCATTCGACGACGCGTTTCAAACGCTAACCATAAAGGTTCACAAGAGGTTGTGGGACGAAGAGGAGAATCAATGGGACCAAGGTCGGTTGCCTTGGTCGTTGGAGAACTTTTCATGTGAGCCTTGGCAGAGCCTCGAAGCCAGGGCGGAGGATCTTAAAGCGCAGTTCCCCCGACTTGCAGCAAAGGGTAAACTTTTGGTCAAAGTCATATAGTGCATCACAGCCTTGTATTTCGAGACTTTCGAATGCTTATTACGAGATGTGCGATGTAGATAGTCAATGCGATGGTAATTCTGGTTCTGCTATGTATTAGCAGAACTCATTTTTTTTACGACGGAAACTTTATAACTTAGAACGGGGTCTCAAGTACTGATGCGACGAAGGCCTCCTACATTCCGGTCTTCGAAAGCCCTTCGCTCTCGTGCCTTTTCTTTTCTTTTGCTTCTGCCCACGTTTGGCATGCCGTACAGTACTTGGTGCAAATATATGACAGGACTCACTATTCTGTAAAACGGCACGCCGGAAAAGATATCGACGTGTTCGCAGGGAATTTCGTTGGAAAACTGTACGCTGAAAATCTGTACAATAGGATCGGCTATTTTCTGACATACGTACGCCTTGGTTGTACTGATGTACGGATCCAACATAGGCCTCAGTAGCTACAATAGTTCTTGAAGTTTCATCTTGGGTATGAACCTACAGTCGTACAATATTCCGGGCGTCTGAAGCTTATTAGTCCTCCATATCTCTTCAATTACTCTGAATATGAGCTGACCTATTGAGTTCCTGCAATGTAAGTAGACCTAATGTCAAAAGATACGCGTGCTAGCCGGGAATGGGAACACAGGCACATCAGGTGTCCGCTCCGTCATATCGAAAGCCCTCGAGTTTGTCTTCTTGAGCACCTTGCACGCATCTACGATGGCCCCTCTCAAACAATCCACAGACAGATCCGGATGAGCGTAGTAATCCTTTAACTGGAATACCAGATCCACGTTCCGGACGAGCCTTGAGAGAAGGTCGCTTAGCTCCTCGAATGCTCTCTTCAGTGGCTCGAGCTGTCCCGGAGGGACAGGAGACCCCCAGTCTCCCAACTTGATGGTCAGTCGCTCCATGATGGTAGACTCTTTCTCAAATGCTTGGAAGCACTTGATCCACCAGTTGATGAACGGCAACATCCTGTCGTTCAGATGACCACCGAGTCGTAGATCGGCGGTAGCATTCAAGTGAAGAGGAGAGACATTGGGAGAGAGTCCCGGGAAGTTCCAGACTATTTGATATGACTAGTCAGCATGGGCTCAATGAGATATGAAGGGATACTTACTCGGAATACAACTACAAGTAATCTCCACGACTTTTAGACCGTTTGACACTATATTGGCAGCCTGGACAATCGCACAAAATTCATCCGGACTAAAGTTTATAGCGTAGAATTCCTCCAGGTGATCAAGGTACACAGACCGATACGAACGCAAACCTTCCCAGAATGCGGGGATTGAAATACAACCGCCCATACACATCTTCTTGATGCGAGGAGCAGGAGACGCTGGCATGATAACGGAGCCGCCGTACACAATCAAATGTCTCATTCCCAATATGTACAACTCCGTCAAGTTGGGAAAAGAGAGAATGATGTGGTGGAACTCTAGGAAAGTACACCATTGGGGTCCTTTGAGCTCGAGTCTGGTGACGGCGAGATACGGAGCTGAGGACATGAGCGCAGGCAAAATTTGCGGCCATTCGCATTCTTCTGTCGAGTGACTGACCTCAACTCTGTCGGCCCAGAAGGAGAGTGTCATCGGGGATGGAAGTGAGTGTAAGATCTCGCAAGTGGCTGTCTGGTACTGGGGTAAGAAAAAATCGAGGCATCGGAACTGGACCCGCTTGATGCACCGGAGCAGCTCGGGTGAGTCGCGCGCGATGTCAAAGATTCGCGCTTCGTCTGGGTGGGGACAATCAACGCAGCGGAAAAGATAGTCACGTGTGCGTGGGTAGAATTGGTGAGAGACGAGGGAGCATGCTTTTAGCGCAGAGGACGAGTCGTGTAGGTTGTCGAGTATCTCGTCGATCAACTCTTGTGGGTACATGGTGGTGGTGGAAGGTGAACTTGACCGATAGGCCATCTCCGAAGAAGCAAATTACTTGTACTAAGCCGTCGGCATCTTGACAGCCATGTTCGGTCCGAATCTTTGTAGAAACTGCTGTCGTCGCAAGAGAATGCAAGAATAGGATGGTCACCCTGTGGTGGAAAACGTCGAGGCACCGGAACTGGGCACATTGGAGGGGCTCGGGCGTCTTCGAGGCGGTTCTCATCGGTATTGTGATGGAAGAGCCCTCGTCTTCGAGGCTTTAGTATATCTTATTGAAATTTCGCGTTTCGATTTCAAGGTCCTTCCCGCTGTTACTTCCCGTGCACAAGTCTGGTAAAGATGCCTCAAGCTATCTTTTGCCTCGCAAAAAACATCCTTCTCGACATTTTTGCCTCTAGAGAATTCGAGTTCTGCACCAAATATAGGAATTTGATTTACTTCACTTCGTCAATATTCCCCTTTGATGAGATACTACCACTGCCAGTCCTCCCATCTCCCCACCATCGGCGCAACAACACAGCAGACGCCCCAATCGACACCACTGCACCCGCCAAAAGGCCCACACAGACAGAAAACGAGACCCTGTACGACGGTCCGTATATACCTAGGCAGCAGCATGTCAACTTGGAGGGTACCTTCAGAATCAAAAGACGCGACTAACCAGAAAAGACCTGCGGCCCAAGGATACCAGAGAACTGTGCAATGGCGTTGGTAATCCCTATTGCCATCCCAGCGGCTGATGTTCCCCGCGCAGCTTCAACACGGTTTGGCCAGAGCACGGCATATACCGACCCAGCAGTCGCTGTTGCTACCAACAGTGCCAGGTAACGCACCACAGCTACCTAGAGTCCGGTTAGAAAAGGTTATCGTGGACGTTGAGAGTGACTCACTTTTACGGTGAGAAGTATTATACAGCAGATGATATTGGTGAATTCCACTAGCACCGCCAGGTGGTCAGTCGGTTACATATGGACAGAGAACCAACTACGCACATCCTATAGCTATCCGGAAGGGGTTCCAAAAACGTTTCTGGATGAGCCATCCCAGCGTGTTCAGCAACACGAATGTGCTCAGAGATGGGGGCATAGAGAGGACGTCGCTCAGCGCCGTCGTTGTAAACCCTACAACAGATTCCAATCCTTCGCTGCCGGGAACAACTGAACACCTACCAAGCTCGTATATCACTGTAGGCAGGACATACGACAACCCGAATCCTCCCACAGCATGGCAAAACCACACCGCAGAGAACGTCCAGAACGTCGGGTCTGCAAAAAGCCCCAACACCTCACCCTTATCCCAAGCCTTTCCCTCCTTCGAAGGGGCATCTCTAGACAACCGATCGATTACCGTCACCCTTTCACGCTCTGTCAAGAATGTAGCTGTCTGCGGAAAATCGGGGAGTATGAAGAGAGTCATCACTCCCATTAGGATAGCCGGTATACCCTCTGCTCAGCGTCAGAGGAAAAAAATCAAAAGGAAATGAACGCGTACTTACCGATGATAAAGAGCCATCTCCATCCCGCTAGAACCCCATCCGCATACGAAATCGCAAATGCTAGGAAACCCCCCACGAAACCGCTGACCTGGCCGAACGAGTAGAACGCAGCCACTCGGAGAGCTAGTTCTTCTGGTCTAAACCAGAATGCGAGGTAGTATATCACGCAAGGGTAGTACCCCGCTTTGGCGGCACCCAGAACTAGAAGTCCTCAGGTCCAGGGGAAATGATACTAAGAAACACACGTACGGACTCGACAAGTTATGAGACCACCGTAGGTTTGCACGGACGCGATGCACATGACGATGATACCCCATGTTATCATGATTCGCCCGATCCAGAAGCTCGGTCTATTAGCAAGGCTATCAGGCAATGTATCCTCGCTGGGTGAAGACACCCACGTCGTCCGCTTCATCAGGAGCGTAGACACCGGCTCAAAAGCAGCATAGGGATAGAAGAAACACGAAACGACCCAATTCCAATCGTGCGTACTCAGGTGCAGCTGTTTCTTGATCCCGTGTCCTTGTTCGATGTTGATGATAGCGGCGTTGGAGATATTGTTGATGTCGATGCGCATGACTAGGTAGGTTATGCATAACCAGGGGATGATGCGGATATCTATAAGTCGGTCAGCGAAACCTAGAGTGATTCAACTTGTTGGATATGTACCAATCCGCCGTTGGACCTTTCTGAGTTCTTCATCAGACAAAGACAAAGGCGTATCGGGTCCATGGAAGGCTTTTTCGCTGTCGATACTCCCTTCTGCGAGATCCATTCCCAGGAAAACGGTAAACGAGGATGCACCTCAAAGGGATCCGTTCCCGTGGGGGAGGACTCTTATACGCTCCCATCACGTCAAAGGGGAGCACAGAAGACGAGCTCATGTCGAAATACGGAGTGGAGAAATTGCTAGAGGCAAGCATGTGGTTACGCCACGAAGAAGCTTCTGATGAAAAAGTTGTTGGCCTTATTTGGGTGCCAGTGCTTTTCGTGTCGACAAAAAATGTAGATGCCAGAATTCCCAGTGGGATAGCAGGATAATGGGGGTCATAGCCAAGGAGGGAATCTTGACTTGGTTTCCGTAACAGAGATACTCTTGGATACAGCCTGAAGAAGGGTTTTAGGCGTCGCTCAGGATGAGTTTCCGACTCAAGTCTCAGTTTGAAATTGAGCTCTGCGCGTCGAGTCCACGTGACTGCTATCCTTCTTCATTCGGTTCCAACTTCACTCAGTTTCTTGCCGCCATGATGAGTCTGTAGAGGCTCTCAACACCTACGTGCTGCATTTCCATTCACTTTTCTCTTATCAACGTATCGTAACGAGCTTCTCCATGGAAACCTAACATCATCGACGATTCCTCTTGCGCCATCGTCATCCCATGGCCAGGGTGGACCTATTCTTGGACGATGACCACAGCAGCAGGGAAATGGTGCAACTATCACCTCATCTCATTTACTGGGCCTGCATCTAGCATGAGACTGCCGTCTTTTCTTCTCATTCATTTAAAAATGTACCTGCCGAATCACCCCGGCAGTCCATACAATGCCCGCTCCAATCCACCCAAAACCCCCTCTAGAACCCTACCCAATCCCCCCACCAACCCAAGCTCCCCTCGACTGGGCCCCGCTCGCTATCATCGACCTCTCCAAATTCGAGGAACCCAACGGTAAACAGGACCTCGCGGCTGAACTCAAAGATGCAGTGAAACGCTGGGGATTCTGGACCGTAGTGGGTGCAGGCTTCACCCAGGAGGAACTGGACCGCCAGCTCGCTATTGGGAATACGTTTTTCAAGCTCCCGTTAGAGGAGAAGAGGAAGTTTGCTTGTGATTTCTCCGTTGGGAAGTGAGTCCTCTATTGTTGTTATCTCATGGTTTTATTTATTGATTGTTCGGTTAGCTACTTTGGGTACAGAGAGCCAACGCGGTTCGTCAGTCGTACGGATGTTAAAGAGAATATGGAAATGGTGGGTTTCTCGTTCCTCATCTTGTTTCAACCATTCATGTATTCTCTACCTCAGCTGAACGTGCCCAAGTTTACGCCAGACTATGCTAGCATCCCTCAGCATCAGCTCATCAAAGCTTATCACGACGAGATTGCCCAGTTCCATCGGAGAGTGTGGGACGATGTCATCCGGAAACTGTTTGTCTTGTTCGCGATAATATTGGAGCTGCCGGAGAATTACTTTGTCGATCGTCACAGTTATGAGACGCCATCAGAAGATCATCTCCGCTATGTTAGTTCTCCCGATTTCACAACTCGCTCATGGTGACATTTGCGAGTAGATGATTTACCATCCTCGGACAGTTGAAGATGACAAGAAGATTTCAGACCAATGGACTGCTGGCCATACAGGTGGGCTGGTTTTGTAGGCCGCTTCGTACTATGCTGATCTGGACCATATAGACTTTGGTACACCTTCTCTCGTTTGTGACCATGAAAGCGGGATTTAAAGTTCAATCCAGGCTCTCTTACCCTCCTCTTCTCACAGCCAGTTGCAGCGTAAGGTCAACTCTTCGTAGCGCTTACATGCACTGACTCCATTCTCAGCCTCCAAGTCAAGGATCCCAATAACGAGTGGAAATGGGTCAAGTATGTCCTAGGCGGCATAACCTGCAACGCTGCCGACACACTGTCATTCCTAACCAAGGTGAACGGTGGAACAATTTCACTCCCATAATTTATAAACTCATCATTGCATCGATTTAGGGATACATAAAGAGTACCATCCACCGTGTCGTCCGTCCACCTCCCGACCAAACGCACCTTGAACGTCTCGGGCTCTTCTACTTTGCACGACCGGGTAATGACGTACCGATGGTCCCCGCTCCGAGTCCTGTGCTCTTCCGCGAAGAGTTGGTGACTGAAAATGAAACAAAGGTCACTGAGGATTCGGTCAGTGGGTATGGTGCGTGATGCGTCTGCACAAGTTTTGTTGGCAAAGTACTCATGGGTGTGTCTTTAGAGTATGTTCGTGCGAGAGTGAAGAATGTGCATGACCGGAAGGCGACACGTATTGCTGAGAATAACCCGGATGCGATGTTCCAGGTCAAGAACCTGACGGTGCAGGACTATTACGTCTGATAGGCATTCATTACAAGCTACGCTACTCTTTGAGCCAGCCTGGCTACCACGTACCGTTTCAGAGTCGCACCCGATTTATTCGTATTGTGTGTATTACTCTTCTAATCCGATTCCATGTTCATATTACGAGCATCTGTTACATCTCTAATTTCATCGAATCCCTGAGACGAAATATGCATTAACTCGGTATTCGCCAGTACTTTCGGCTTTCGGGCCGATTCCAATTTAGGGCCAGTTGTGACACTCCAGTCACACAATGGCTCTCTCTCCTCAAAACCACCTCCTCGACTCCGACTCGTTATCCCAATTACTCGTTGTCTCTTTACCCTGGTCCTTCTCAGCGTTCCTGGACGCTGTACCTCCCATTCTCAAATTCTTGTCATGTGGCGCTACAATATAACAAATGTTCCAGCGCCTCAGGGGATTTGATATCAGAGTTAACACCCCTCCTACTTGAAGAAGTCCAATCTTCACACCTCTGCGCACTCCCGAAGACAGCAATACAGTTCACACGGAGGATGGAAGACCAGGAAAGTGGAGCCACGGAAGGATTCGGGAACGCGGCCATCCGTGATCGAGTGCGTTACCAACTCGTCGACGTTTGGGACAAGATAATTGACATTTTCATCTTATCAGGTGGTCTGTGTCTCCTTTTCGACGCGCTTTATTACCAGCCTAAGCTAGGGCGACCATGGCCCCACATTTCAACATGTGCTGGTTCTGCCGCGTCTTTGCACTCAAGGCCCACCACGTCCAGGCGCCACCACGACTGCCTCTCCCTCCGTATCTCGCCTACGAGCTCGCTATGCTGCGACGGAAGAGGAACGCTCCGTGGAGGCACCATCTCATTGACCGGGATTTGTGGGAGAAGGGCTTTCCTTCGTACCGGAGACAATGGTTCAGCCAGATCCTGAGAATTCGAACACGATAACCCTTCTCTCTCTCACCATACCCCGGCTAGACATCTTACATCCCAAATGAGCCTCCACAAGTTGATCGCATCGGTCCAGAGATTAATTGGTTCTCTGCGAACCGGCCCCGGCCACGGAAGCTGTGTGTCAGACGTGTCACTGTCGGAATCTACGTACTCCGTCACCACTTCCTCCTCCACGTTCCGCGGTTCCAGTTCCTTTATCCACTCCGGCAGTTCATCCCAGCTCGTGTATCTATTATCCCCCTAGAACCGCTCTTCGGGGGTCTCGGGCGGCGGACGGACGTTCGCAGCGTCGAACCCCAGTTCAAGCACTACCGGGTCCCCATCCGTCTCGAAGCTCTCCAAAGCAGGAGACATACACTTGACGAGGAGCACCAACGCCGGGTTGGCGCCATTGATAGTCAAATGACGGATATACGGCAAGGTGAGCAATTTGTATTGTAAGACACCATTGTGTTTGACTGATGGAGAGTAGAATTTTGGGGGGTAGTAGAACTCTTTCGAGTGGTAAAGATATCGAAGACGGGCGGAGTAATCGGCATCTTGGACGTCGTACGTGAATCGCATTTCTAGTGAATCGATGGTTCTAGGGGGGAAGAGAGTGTTGAATCGGGAGATGTAGGCGAAAGGCATTTGTTGGCTGACATTGTGGTAGAGGAGTGTTACGTGTCGGATATGGGATAGATTTGTGAATATTCGAGGGAAGCCGTAGAATAATGTGTCTTGGACGGAGACAGTGAGGGAACGACAGCAGCGACAGAAATAAGCGCCTAGAGAGAGCTGTGCACCGTCTGAATCTGTGACGGTGCTAGAAGTGAAAGTGGGGTCGGTTTGAAGGAGTACGATGTACTTGTAGTAAGCATATGAGACGATATGCAGATGTGTGAATGAGACACGTAGGAAAGTGAGCATCCATATTCGACAGACGTGAAGTGAGGCCTTCATAAAGAAATGACGCTCCTTTTTGCTCAAAGGGAGAGCCCATATCTCCTCGATAATGAGCGCGATGATTTCAACTGGTAAGTAGGGAAAACGATCGATAACAGAGGACGGTCTCGTTAGACTCATGATGGTTGTAAGTCCTGTTGCCGTTAGTAGCTGAAAAGGTGTTAACGCTGGACCCGGTCATCGGGCCGAATCCCGAACATGGCCAAGTTTGGTACCCACACCACCACGGCCCTTCGCATGGAATTGAAGATTCGCGCTTATCGCAGAATGGTATTTGAAGGTGTCGACTGACCGTGGCGCGACAGAGGCTGGGTGGCCACAGAGCTGTTTCAGTGCGAGTTAAGACATTCGTAAGCGTCGGTGGTGCCGGTAAGCCCCAAAACTGCGTCGGCGTTCACCCAAAAGAATTAAGATTGTATAGAACGTATCTGTACCCATAACCACACAGCAATGATAGCCTACAGTCATCTCACTGTAACATCAGTCAATTTCCAACACTCGAAAAGGAAAGAACCTACAGCCCTACGCTACATACCTAAATGCAGGATTCGCAAAATCCGTTATATCATCCACCATCGCTGTGCACTTGACTCCTCCTTCCGCCATCTCTCGGTCTCTCCGCTTATTCGACGTCAAGAACAGGGTCCTCAAAGCTAGAATAACGAAGACTTCAACGATGTTGGCGACGAGCATACCTACAATGCCGGTAGTGTATTTTGGTGCCTCTGAAGTCTTGAAGAGAAAGGGTCCGACAATGTTTCTAGGTATCACCGGTGGTTTAGCCGCATATATGCCTTTAACGGTGTTGTCTACATACCCTGTACATAGACCTAGGAAGACAGCCGCATTGGCGATAGCTAGAATAAACAAAGTGAGAAAGAACCAAAGCCCGCATACATCATAGAGTTCCACCTTTCTTCGTTTGACCGCCGACGTTTCCGGACACGAGTGACAGTCCGAGGACGAACGTAGCGTTATACGACCCAGTTAACCAGTAACCAATCAGGCGCGTAGGCTTTGAGGTCGCGGGACCCCAAGCCATCATCTAAATCCAAGGATCAGATCAGCAGACTAGCTTACGCTGGTTTGATGACCTTACACAGCTCCCAATTATATTAGGCAAGAGAAAAACGATCATAAGGAGGGTTCTGCTATTCTTCGGTGCTTTGGTGTTAAGCCACACAGCAAATAGGATACTGTGCGTGTTTGAGCACTCGATATGGAATATCACCGATGAACGTACCAAAAGCAGATGAAGAAACCGTAAGGGATCTGCATCAAAGTCGTCTCGAGTGTGTCAAAACCGAAACCTTGTATGATGAGCGTTCCACTGGGAGAGGAAGATAAGAATCGGATGGACTATCTAAGCCCACGTGAGTCTTACAAGTTCGAAATTCCGCCCTAGAGGGTACCATTAGCTTCCATGAAGTCCCGGCACAATCAAGAGACATACGTTCGGGATGTTTGAAGAAAACCCGAGCAGGAAGAAGAGATAGATCTTGGGATCGCAGAACGCTTCGACGATTTGATCAGGCTTCACTCTAAAGTGCGCTCAGACCGTTATCACCAGCATTATCAATAAAGTACGGACCTGTGAGTATCAGCACCAGCTTGATCATGCCTCTTACGACTCAGGACTACGAGCCGATCCTCATCCTTGAACCACCGCGACTTGTAATACGGAGAATCAGGAACAAACGTGAACATGACGATCGCCCAAAACGAGCAGAGCGCTCCGATGATAAGAAATTCGTAGCGCCACGATGGAAGAGCACCCTTGATCTGAGGAGAAGCGCATCAAGACAACCATCCTATGATTCTGGAGGATCGAGAACCCACGTACATGTCCAATGGCATATCCCAATAACCCACCGAGGGCGATACCAATACCATTCGCGCTATACCAGAGTCCGATTCGGATGGGTTGCTGGCTACGCGTGTACCACAGCCCGGTGATCAGAACGAAGGCAGGGTCAGCGGTAGACCCTGCCGCACCGGAGAGAATGCGCAGGATCATCATGTCTTTGAAGTCCTTCGCTGCTGCTTGCGCCATAAGAAGCACGCCCCAGAAGAAAATCTGCCAGGAATCTCAACGTCACAGTGAGTTCTAAAAGACAAGGCAGTAGTGAACCCACGTTGACAGCGAGGTATTTTGCGATAGGAAATTTCTGCATGAGCAGATTGGTCGGGAAAGCCCAGAACAACCAACCAACTAAAGGATCGATGAGTTCACGGAGAAGAATATAGAAGGTTCATGCGCACAGTAGAAGATACTTGAAAGCCATTGCTGTTGGCATTTACTGCGCGGTGAGACCAGTTAAACAACGCGGAACGAACACGCGTACGTATTCCGTTTTCCCTAGGGCTAGATCTTCCTTGACTGTAGTCGACGAAAATGAGAGGATTATAACGAAGTGAACAACGGCGACTCACTCCCGAAGATCGCAGCGTATGAAACCGTCGTCTTATCCCTGCGTAAACCTGGTCAGTGGTGGAATTTCACAATCGTATACACCGCATACATATAGTAAAACTAGAGCGCCAAATGTTTGAATGACTGAGAATAAACAATTAGGCGGACTCACCACGTAACAAACAGCCAATGCAGGAATGACCAGCAAGTCAACCCTTCGCTCAATCCTCTTAACGACCACCGGATCTAACACAGTCTCGTTCATACGTGCCAGGTCATCCAACAACGCGTGCTCAGGTTTTGCCTTCAAAATCTTTCCAAGGAATCCAGGACGACGCTCTTCGACATGATACTCAGAGGTCTCGATAGTCGGCTTGAAGTCGCTCATCGATGGATTATCATGTTGGTGAGGGCCAAACTTAGTCCGTTCCGTGTGGGGCCACAGGGTACGATTTGAGCTTCGCAATCAGAGAAGCGGTCTGGAACTGGGCCATATGCTTAACGGGAAAAAAAAAGAAGATTTGTAGATGAGCCCAATGGTCCACTAGGCTCGTCACTGGGTCTTGTCTGCCTTTCCAAAATGACGCATAGTAAAGACGAGCAGTGACAAAAGCGAACGATGGGTGACCTTCAGGTCTGTATTCTTTAGATAATGGTCTGGCGTCAGTACGTGGTCGAAGGCGCAACAAGAGCCTGATACGCACCGTGTGCCGCTACATATCAACTGTACGTGCCGCAACACAACGCAACATTCCGCTGTCTGCGATTGGAACTTGGTGTTGAACGCGAAGAAAATAAGAGGCTGGGAGAGGGCCTCAGGTCGGTGAACCTATTAAAGGACGGTCTCGAAATCTTGGATGCTATCCATGGTGGTAAAGCATATTGTTGGACGTTGCTTGAAGGTGAAGTTGTAGATGGATGGAGAGGGAAAGTGTCAAGCGAAGAACATTCCCAGGCTCAGTACGTCACATTTTATTTATTACTGATAAGACCCTCCTAGTTGCCAAAAGACTCGCAATTTGCCTAGCATCTACCAGTGTCTAGCATATTTTCCGAGAGTGTAAACTTTCCAGGGGATGCTCTTGGCTGTCATCTTCATTTCGAAGGAAACCGGGGCTTGCTAAGTGCGTCGTTTTTCTTGCTTTCATGGCTCATCGTCATTCATGCAATATATGCCAGCCGGGTATTGCGGCTTCTTACTGTAGCTAAGAAATTCTTTTACGAAATTCAAAAGTTATGTATTGATTGAGAAGAACTTTACGACAGCCCTTTTCTACCTTGACGCTCCTCACCATGGTGTATTATCCCTTCACAATCTTCATACCAGGATATGGGACTTCGCTGATAGGCGCCAGCGAACATATCGCTTCCTTTCACACAAACCAAGAGAACGGGTCAACGAAGCCATGGTCATATAGCATGGTTGCCTTCTCTGTGACCTCCATCCTCACTCTTGCATTTGTCTCCGAACAACTATGACCGGGAACAAAGCATTCAGAACTAGCGTCGTTCGCAGCACTGCTGTCGCAAAGCTCGGATCTTTCTGAACCCTGGATGTTTTGCCTGTGAGATTGTGAAAGGGTGAGGGTGTCGATTGATGTCGCTGTCGCTGTCGATGATATTGATCTTTGTCACACAGCTTCTGCACTGCGTATTTCTGCCATTGGTATTTATTAATAACCTCTCTTTCATAGCATCTTAAGTGATGTACTGCCATACTCCGATGTTGGCCATCACTGGTACAGGTCATTCAAAGCTCTCAGAGTTCGTACTCGGTCTCGGTTGATAGAACAAGAGCTGTCTGCAGGACGGGTCAAAGCTCGTCCATTCGTTGTCCTATCATTCACATCTGGAAACAGGGAAGTGAATTGAACAAGCGGCTATTTGTGAGTCTCCATCATTAGCTAACTATGAGATGATTGGAGAATGGTCTAACTGAGTCGTTATCAGCCGCGGAATCTTTGTGCTTGTGCTTGGACCGTTGGTGGGTTAGTTCATCTTCTGTTGATAATGTAAAGGGTAGGCAAAACCTGTGGGCTGTTTTATTCCGAGTGAACGGTTTTGAGAGGTGAGATCATCGATGCGCTTTGATGTTCTATGTCTGCTGATGTGTAACATTAAATACCTCCATCATTACGACCACCTCCCCATCACATGTACGACAGCATTGGCGCTTAAGATGGAGAGGAAATGAGATGTGTAGTGGGCGAATACTACTATATCTCGGTGCACAACTGTGTATCGAGCGTTGGAGCTGGGAAATCGATTCATTCCATATGCATTCAACACATTCACTGTCCTTATTGAAAAATATCGACACATCTAAGTTCAAGTTGATCGGGCTATGCCGCTGTATGTAATTCAGCTGTGGCCGATCACCTCATGTGTTGTTCTTGGCACTCGCAGATGCTCATGTATTTAAGCCAGACCATAGAGGCTGTCATCTGCTTCTTACCCTCTTGATTACACACCTCGACGACTTTGCCAGAGCAAGGAGCATTGGAACTTGTCTTTTGGAATCATCTACCTGTTGTGCTGCACATCTACATCTTACTGACACTTAACTAGGTGAACATGGGAAACAGTATGTATCTTTCATCTACCTTTGTGGCAATTCCTCAGTCCAGCCACATTAGGAATATCCAAATTTCTCTTCCAATCGCCTTTGAAGAGTATGAAGTTGATTTGGAATGGCTTGAAATCTGTTTTTTTGGCAAAAGATCTATCTTGTGAACAAGAATCTGGTGCTGATCAGGATGGGATAGAGCTGAATTCCAGATCTGTTTTAAAAGGTATGTGTCCTGTCCTAACAATGTCAGATGTGCCAACCAGCTGGCATCCAGAATCCTTCTCATAATTATCATTTTTAGGACCTCACAATGCTCCACTGAGAGAACCCTTGCTCATCACAAAGCCATTGTTTGTGCCTAATATGACTGGGTCATTTCGATGGGCAGCTTATGGCCTGCCAAATGAAGATCCTAAGTCAGCACCTCGTGCTCTAATAGGACCTGCTCCTAAAAAGAGCCAGCCCAATGATACCATCATCACTGCTTTGACTGAGATGTTACGGTTTATTCTTTTCTTTTTCTTTTCTTACGCATTCACGCTTACTCTATGCTGCTGCGGTGCTGCGATCCTGATCGGACATTCTCACGACACTATTTTTAGTCTACGCAACGTGTATTTAAGTAGAGCCTCAGCTGGTCTAAACCCCAGCTTCGGCTAAGGTTTATTCTACCTAACATCGAACTCCGTTCTTCGTGACTAAGTGTCCCATCGACTTGCGTCGCCTTTGACCTGTTAGTGCATCGTCTACCGAAGTGCGAGTAGCGATCCTAGCGCGATCTAAGTCGATTTGAGTTAGTGGCTAACATTTAGCCGAAGCTCGCTCTACGTTGCTCAGCGTCACTTCCGAGAAAGAGCGCTGCCCAACTTCTTTACAAAAAATTACCCCGCTTGACCAGAGAGGTCATCGCCTACGTTCGTGTGGACAACCCGGTGCTTGTCAACGTACGGCGAGTGGACCAACGGAAAAGCACTTACCGTCACCATTCATCCAATACACTACTTCGTTGCACTAGCCTTGTGGCTAATACCCCCTCGGCTACTCCTTCTATTGTTAGTGACCCGGTTGATTGTTGAAACCATCCTCTACGACGACCTACTCCTCGCAGTCTTTCTGACTGTCTACTTAACCTTTCTCCTAATCGCGCTCGGAATACCGGCAGCGTTGCTAGCAAGCTTGCTGGCCGCCCTGTACTCGTTATATCCCCGCCTCGTTTAGGAACCACGTATCCCAACACGAAACCCTTTATCCTCGCTCTCCAGCTCGCTTCCCTGTTGACAATCATATTGTTAATAGTGACGAGCTCTCCTGCCGACGACACCTGCGAAATCTCGTTAATGAACGGTTCCAACTACGAGACCGACCTTAGCTTGATTATCGCACTTCTCATCGTTCTCACCATCCTTGCGGTATACCAGCTTGCATGGTCAATCGTCGACCTACGCCAAGGATAGATCTCTATACGGATGCCCTGGTCCGACGCCATTCCTGCAATCTTCGCAACTTTTATCGCCTTTTTCTTGTCCATTTCTTTATACTACACACTCCGCTGCTGCCGACAACAGAGAAGGGTCCGACCTCAGCTTCCCTTCCACTACGTGCCCAGCGCACCCGCATATCCCCCGCAGGTGATAGACATCCCCGCGGCATCGCAACAAACACTACCACTCCCAGAAACCCCTCGGCCAGAACTACACTCTCTCTATGGAGAGTCCCTCTACGGATCGTCGCGACCCAGCTCGCGATCCTCAGAGTCGAGCACCGACTCCTACAGAAGCGCTACCGACGAGTCAACCGACTCCGTCGACATCACCGATACCAGGAGCATACTCCTCGACAGAGGAGACTCGCCCTTACCAGGTCTCTTCGACCAGTCTCCAGTCCAAGGCGAGTCTGGCGACGACAGAAGCCGAGGACAAGGCACCAGGCATCTGGTCGCGGGCGAAGAAAGCCCTGACACCGAGTGGGAAGGGGACGAGCTCACCGAGTGGGAAAGAACCCGTCTCGACGACCTCCTCGACGACCTCTATTCGAACACGGAAGAGGATGCAACCTATACCGGAGACAACTGGTCCGGAAGGTCATCCACAAAGTGGGTTGAAGCCCAGTGGGGAGACTCCGACCTCGGAGCAGAGCGCCGGAGGTTTATACAGAGGCAAAAGGACGACTACGACGCCGACTCAGGAGAGCTTGGCCTCGGAGCCTCCGCGGCTTCCACCAGTACAGCTCACTCACAGTCTATTCCAAGGGCCTGGCCAACCAATAGAGGCCCTCCAGTCGGCTGGCATCCCAGCACCAGCTGGGTCTACGCCGACGACGGGGAAGAGACTCCTGTGGCCAGAATCGCAACCAGAAGAGAGCCCGACCCGATCCCTGAAGGGTCCGAGGCACCAACGCTCCCTACCCCCGTCCCCTCGATCGAGTCGACGAGTGGGGAGCTTTGGAGCGAGTTCCCAGATCTCGACGCCGAGGAACTTGGGACAGTTACCGCCGCCGAGCGCCTCGCCGGAGTCTCCGACTGGGAACCGTCAGTCGCGTCGAGAGCCTTCGCCGACCCAGTCCCTCTCTCACAGCGTCCGTGGCCCCTCCTCTATCACACGTACGTCGAGTCCCTCGGACTCTCTCGAGATGTCCGGGAGTCCCCAGAGGGTCAGGCCCGAATGGACAGAGGCCGAGCGCATGATGCACGCATCCGACGTGCCGAGGAGGACGCCCTCTATGGGCCCAATGGATTCTGGGATCTACCCGTTGAGCCCGACGCCACTCCCGCCGAAATCGATAACAGGATACGAGCCGCTGCAGTTCGCTACACCGGATACGCCCGGAGGGCCGGAACAGATCTCGAAGCCCGAGCTCGAGCCTGGAGAGTCTATCAGGAGGAGATCTCCAATGAGGACTCCGACATCGGGAGGTGGAGGCGAAACAAGGAAATTGACCGAATCGCCCGAGAGAGGAAGGAGGCAGAGGATGCCAAGTCGGCCCCCAAACCAGGCCCTGGAACCGACGGTAATGGCGGCGGTGAAACAGGTCCTTCTTCAGGGACCAGTGCCTAGGCCGGGCATTTTCGAACTATTACCCTGGCACGGGTTGTACGAAATCATGATGGAAGATATGGAGAGAGACCCGCAGTGGCTCTTCTCCGAGGCGGGCGAAGACTACCGCCATGCGAAACAAATGGGGGATGTATATCTGATGAAGAACATCCTCGAAGTAGAAACCTGGCACCGGGCGGCTATTGTCTGGAACCTGGTCAACCCCAATGCCCCACAACGGGGATGTGAAGCGTACCGAAGGCCTCAGCCGATGCCTCACCCTACGGACGCTTCGGACTTCTTCCCCGAAGGCTTCTTCGGAGGAGCGGGAGAAGACGATGACGACATGGACGATCCAGGTGCTGGACCGTCTCGCACTGACAAGGGGAAGGGGTCCACGGTACCCCCGTTCCCACCAAAACAGCCGACCTACCCGGACCCCGCAGGATATCCTCCTCCGGGGGAAAATCGAAACCTGCGGTCGGTATCACGACCACCTAAACCGCCGGTACCACCGCATGTACCCTCTCCCCCGGATCCCATTCCTCCCTGGCAGCTCGCGCCGGGGGCGGTCAATAATCCATGGAACGATGTCAAGCCCAAGTTAGTAACTCAGCCCGAGTACTTCACCGGGGTTTCCTCGGACATCACCCGCTTCTTACATCACTGCGAAGTTTACTTCGCGGTGTTCCCCATGTATTACACCATGAACGACCAGGGGCAGAACCCCTATCGTATCACGTTCGCTCAGGGGTATCTACGAGGGGACGCGCAGCAGTGGTGGGTCGACCAGTACTACCGCTACCGAGACCCGCAAGGCCACTGGAGATTCCCCACTTGGGCGGAATTCTCCGAAGACCTCAAGCGCGAATTCCGCGAAGTGGCGGAGTTAACAATATGGAAGACGGAATGGAAGAAAGTCCGACAGGCGGACTGCAAGTCCGCAGTCGAGTTCTTTGCCAAATTCGAGCGGCTGGCCCACAAGTGCGAGGAGTTCGGAGATGAGAAGCAGATGTTCGAAGCGGTGGAAGCGGCGATAAGGCCAACGGTGCGGAATACGGTTATGCATGGGGACAACGAGCGCCCCACAACCTACGCACAATGGAAGGCGCGAGTCCTAAGGATCGACGCCAACTATAGGTACGGAGTAGCCCAAGGACTGGGCAGTAAGTCCTCCTCGAACCAAGGCGGTTCGGGTCGAGGCAATCAATCGAAAGGAAGCGGATCGGGTGCCGGAGGCGATAAGAAGGACGCCACGGGGACCACGTACGGTGGAACGGGGCAGCCAATGGAAATCGACAAGCTGCGGTCCGACAAGCGGTGCTTTAAGTGTGGGAACACGGGGTGGAACCCCAAGCACAAATGCCCTGACGACAAGTCCAAGTGGCTTCCCGTCAAACTCCCACCACGCAAAAAGCCCAACGTCGCCCGCCTCCGCCAATTGCTCGCTGAAGCCGAGAAGGAAGATCTGGGAAAGGATACCAAGGTCGAAGAAGTAAAGGACGAGAAGGAGAAGTCGTCAAAAGACCAGCCGGCGTCGAAATAAGCGATTCGACGGCGTCGGCAAAGGACTTAGTTTCATCTGGTGCGCGCTCCTGTACTTGTAGTCAAGCTCAATCTGTATATGTAGGTACTCCCTATGAACAATATACCAATTTTTTCGCCGCTCTACCAGTAGAAGAAACTAAGGACGATGAATCGCAAACCGCCAACGGCGTAGGAGGGGATTTCCGCCACTCCGCGCAGTCTGCGCTCAGTACTGAACCCCTAGGGGCCGTCCGAGCTCAGGAACCCCCGGCTCACCGCACAGGGAAAGCCTCTCGAAGGCAGAGCCCCCTAGGTCGAGTCCCGACTGCACCCTTGACGAAGGGAGGTCAGCCCGGAGAGGGAGAAAGGTCGTCAGCCCAGCCCGCTGGGCCTGCGTCTCCGCCTGTGGAGGCGTCTGTTCCAGTGGGAAGCGTCGGAAAAGCAGCTGAGGCTGTGAGCTCGGGGGACCACCTGCCCTTAGTAGCCAAGGGACACCCGACGGCAAACAGTGCAGACCCCTCGAAGGAGCCAATATGTGTGCCCCCGCGAAGGGCAACCCGAAGTACCGCCGGGTCTAGGAAGAGCAATAAGAACAGGACGACTGTGGAGGTTACAACGCCGCGCACAAGCGCCCGTGGCCAGGGCCGAACACAGGGCAGCGAGCCCTCCTCCACCACCTCGATTTTCAAAGGCGCCCAAATGCCGCCTCTGGACCTTTCTCGTCCAGGTGACCAAATGCCACTTCGAGGGAAGAACCCAAGGGTTCTGTTGGAAGAAGTAGAAGATGAAGAAGCCCACTTGCGGTCCGACATACCGGTAGTAACTCCCCGAAGGCCGACGTCTCCCGCTGTGTCTCTCACCGCGAACGCCAACGACAAGAAGGTGTTCGCGGCAATGTACTACGAACCCCATGGTATCCTGTGGACCCGCCGGGCCTTACGGATTGCTCGAGGGGATGCAGCAGCTCGCGCCGTTCTCAACGGATGGGTACATCGGCGACGACGCGAGGAGGTAACCGATCAACTTTGTCATCAGCTAGAAGAGCAGACTGAGACTGCCGCCCAGGCCAGAGAGAGGTGGCAGTGGATGGAAGACTTGCAGAAGCCGCCCATGTACATTAGGGGGCGGAAGGGGCGTAACGTTTCAATAAAAGTGCAATTAGAAACCCTGGACACGAGGGAGACCCACGCCCTGAGCGCCTTAGTAGACAGCGGGGCCACCGGTAGTTCTATCGACCGGACCTGGGCCCAGGAACACGACCTTAACCTCAAAAAGGCGGCTCGACCCGTGCCGGTCTACAATGCCGACGGCACCCGTAACAAAGGAGGGGATATCACCGAGTATGCCGAAGTACGGCTACGGATAGGGGACCACGTGGAACGGATCGAACTAGCCGTAGTCGATCTAGGCTCCACCCCCTTGTTCCTAGGGCATGACTGGCTCCAACGTCATAACCCGCTTATTGACTGGGACACCGGGGCGGTCACCCTAGCCCGATGCACGTGTCGAAAAATCCCATTTTCCCTCCCCGATACCGATCCATCGGCGCGATGGGACGAGTATGAAGAAGGAGACACCATCCTAGTGATTGACTTCGAAGAGGCCTTCCACGTCCGGGCCATGGGGACTAGAGCTAACGAACTAGCCGCCCAAGCCAACGCAAAAAAGGACGCCAAGTCATTCGAAGAGATAGTACCCGAAGAGTATCGGGACTTTAAGGACATCTTTGATAAAGAAAATTTCGACGAACTTCCCCCACGTAAACCCTGGGACCATGCCATCGAGTTAATCCCCAACGCTAACGCCAACCTAGACTGCAAAGTCTATCCACTCAATCCCACGGAACAGGAAGAGCTGGATAAGTTTCTGGATGAGAACCTGGCCACGGGGCGTATTCAGGCTTCAAAGTCGCCCATGGCCTCCCCATTCTTCTTCGTCAAGAAAAAGGATGGAAAATTACGACCTGTACAGGACTACCGAAAACTTAACGAGATGACCATCAAGAACCGTTATCCGTTACCGCTTATCGGGGAGCTCATGGACCGGCTGAAAAAGGCCAAATACTTTACTAAACTGGACGTCCGGTGGGGTTACAATAACGTGCGGATCAAGAAGGGAGACGAGTGGAAGGCCGCCTTTCGAACTAACCGCGGTCTCTATGAGCCCCTCGTCATGTTCTTCGGGCTCACCAACTCCCCGGCTACCTTCCAGTGGATGATGAACGACATCTTCAAGGATCTCATCACCGCTGGGGAAGTATCGGTGTATCTGGACGACATCCTCATTGCCTCCAAAACCAAGGCGGAGCATAAGAGGATTGTACGAAAAGTCCTCCAGATATTGCGAGAAAATCACTTGTTCCTCAAAGCGGAAAAGTGTGAATTTGAAGTGGAAGAGACGGAGTATTTGGGGGTGATCATCAGCGAGGGAAAGATTCGCATGGACCCCGTTAAAATCGCGGGCCTTTTGGACTGGCCGACCCCTCGTAGGAAGCAAGAATTGCAATCCTTCCTCGGGTTCTGTAACTTTTATCGGCGGTTCATTCGTGACTACAGCAAGCACGTTCGACCATTAACAATGCTTACCGGAAAGCAGGAATGGACGTGGGGGGAGACCCAGCAGAAAGCGTTTGAAAAACTCAAGGAGTTATTCCGTGAAGACGTCGTACTGGCCATTCCCCTCGATCAAGGACGGTTCCGGGTAGAGGCAGACTCAAGCGAGGGAGCGGTAGGAGCTGTACTTTCGCAATGGCAGGATGAGAAGTGGCGACCAGTCGCGTTTCTGTCCAAGGCCCTTTCAGTCACAGAGCGCAATTACGAAATCTACGATAAAGAGCTTCTCGCAATTATGATTGCCCTCGAAGAATGGCGCCAATACCTCATGGGGGCCCGAGAGGATTTCGAGATCTGGACTGATCATTCAAACCTCCAGTACTTCCGCAAACCCCAGAAACTCAACCGACGACAAGCCCGTTGGGTAACGGAGTTGGCGGAGTACCAGTTCAGTTTACACCATAAGCCCGGAGCTCAAAACCGTAAGGCCGACCTCCTATCCAGAAGGGCGGATCACGACCAAGGGAAGGAGGATAATCGAGACGTTGTGGTCCTAAAAGCGGAACACTTTAGGGCCCTAGTAATGCTGACCATGGAGGACTTACACGAGAGAATCAAGGCGGCAACGCACGATCCCCGCCACTGGGACAGAGGCATTTCGGACTCCCTCAACCATGAAAAGGGCGTCTCCCGAGAGCAAGATATGTTGTGGTACGACGGACGCATTTACGTACCGGTGGATCGGGACCTTCGAGGGCAAATCATCGCCCTCAAGCACGACCACGTCACAGCTGGACACCCAGGAATTGAGAAGACCAAAGAGTTGGTACTTCGCGATTACTGGTGGCCCCGGATGCGTCGAGACATAGAAGCCTATGTAAAAGGGTGCGAAGTCTGCCAGCGAACCAAGGCGGACCGTCGCCCGAAACGGGCCCCCTTGCATCCTAACGAAATACCCGTACGCCCGTGGACCCACGTTTCGGTCGACATGATCACCAAACTCCCGAACTCCAAAGGCTACGACTCAATTCTCGTTATCGTCGACCGATTTTCTAAAGCCATCATTCCTATTGCCTGCACCGAAGAGCTCACTTCCCTCGGATTCGCTAAAATCCTGAGGGACTACGTCTACGTACCCTATGGTGTAATGCCTGAAAAGGTAATCTCCGACCGGGGGTCCGTCTTTGTTTCCAAGTTTATGAAGGAATTCTACCGACTGCTCCATGTCGAGGGGAACCCTTCTACAGCCTACCACCCGCAGACAGACGGCCAAACCGAAAGGGTAAACCAAGAGATCGAGAAATACCTCAAGATGTTCGTCAATGACAGACAAGACGATTGGAGTGAATGGTTACCGTTGGCAGCCTTCACTCACAACAATCGTCAACACTCAGCGACAGGGTACTCCCCCTATCGAGTCATCTTCGGAAGAGACGGAGAGGTCATCAAAACTCCTCAACGAGCAACGGCCGTTCCCGCAGCAGGGAGATTGGTGGAGGAGATCGAGAAAGCACAAGGCGAGGCCAGAAAGTCATTAGAAAAGGCGGCAGAGTCCATGAAAAAGGCCTACGACAAACGAAAGAACGTCGCAGTGGAATACCAAGTGGGAGACAAGGTATGGCTCGATTCGACCAACCTCCATCTCCCTCGGCCGACCAAGAAGCTTGGGGACCGTCGTGTTGGCCCCTTCGCCATCACGGGCAAAAAGGGGGCCTCCGCTTATGAGTTGAAGCTGCCGATAAAATGGAAGATCCACAACCGCTTCAACGAGTCGCTCCTCACACCCTACATCGCCCCAACCTTCCCTAATCAACCACGTCCCGAGAGGCCGCCTCCAGATTTAATTGATGATGAAGAAGAATACGAAATCGAGGAAATAGTGGAGCAGCGGAACAAGGTTATAGGTCGCGGACGAACTCGTCGCGCCATAACGGAGTACCTGGTAAAGTGGCGAGGATACCCGAGGGAGGAGAACTCCTGGGTCAAACGTTCAGACATGGCCAACGCGGAGGAACTCGTAAACGAGTACGAAGCACGCCTCCAAAGAATTTATTGGGAGGTCAACAAGTATGGACGAACGGTGGGAAGAGACGACAACATACCACCGGGCGCTGGAACAGCCTACCACGACCCGGACACCCCTTGTGTCACGGATATCGAAACTGTTTATTCGTCGGAATGCACGAACCCAAGACACTCCGAAGTACAGTCCTCAATGGCGATGCGGGAAGTCACAGCAGAGGAAGCAGAGGGGATACCGAGGTTGGAAGAAACATCGGACGAGGAGGACTCCGAACTAGACCTCGAAAACCTACAACGGGTCTATGAAAATTGGGAGTTCGACTCAGAAGATGATGACAACGATGATGACAGCGTCTTATCCTTTTACAGTCAAACTGCACAAAGCGGCGAGGGGACCGAGGACTCATTCGGGACGAACGAGTCTTAGAGAGGGGGTAATGTTACGGTTTATTCTTTTCTTTTTCTTTTCTTACGCATTCACGCTTACTCTATGCTGCTGCGGTGCTGCGATCCTGATCGGACATTCTCACGACACTATTTTTAGTCTACGCAACGTGTATTTAAGTAGAGCCTCAGCTGGTCTAAACCCCAGCTTCGGCTAAGGTTTATTCTACCTAACTTCGAACTCCGTTCTTCGTGACTAATTGTCCCATCGACTTGCGTCGCCTTTGACCTGTTAGTGCATCGTCTACCGAAGTGCGAGTAGCGATCCTAGCGCGATCTAAGTCGATTTGAGTTAGTGGCTAACATGAGACTGACAAGGATGAATCATCAATCAAGGTTCCATTGCAGTTGGCTTATGCTGGTGGAAAACCTGTGATATCATCCTCCCTTGCTGACACTCCCTGTGCTATCCTTGGTACTCAGGGCATCTTAGATAAAATCAATGCCACTCTTGGAACAACATACACTTTGAACATTCCATCTCTCTCTTCTATCCTTGAAGAGTATATCTCAAATAACTATGACTTTGGGACTGCATATAGCTATCTTCGCTCAGTGTGGTTTATCAATGACTGGAGCATTATTCAAGATACACTACACATGCAGGAAGAGAAGGATAAAGAAAGAAGACAAAAGGCAGTTGTTGATGGCAAAATTGTTGATCCATACATGCCACCTCGACGTGTCTGGGATCTTTACAGCAATCGTGTAGTGCCATCATGGATTGCTAAAAAAAGACCTCTGCCCATATCACATGCATGGTTGGATGAGGAGAATCGGATTGCAGTGTATACTCCTATTAATGGGAAGGAGTGGCCTGTGCCAATGCCAAAGAGTGCTGATCTTCATCTCATTCGCATTGAGATGTTAAACCTGGAAGCTGAGTATGTGTGGTTGGATGTGCTCTGCTTAAGGCAGAACAGTAGCTTAGATCAGCTGAAAGAGAAGCTGCGTACAGATGAGTGGAAGCTGGATGTACCAACTATTGGAAATGTGTATGATTACACAATAGTGGTAATTTACCTGAGTGGGCTTGGGCTGCCTTTCAGTTTGAAGGAGGGTGACTTTGAAAGTGAGCGGTGTTGGTTTCAGCGTGCATGGACACTACAGGAGATTGGATTAAAAAGGATTATTGCTGGAGATATGCCTTCTGGACCTCTACATGTGTGTCCAGTGCATGGGAGCCAAGACTATAAAGGAGAAATACTGATGCAGTTTCAAAAAGAGCTTGAGTTAGTGCATAATATCATGTGGTCACCAACAGGAAGATCATGGGGTAATCTTTTCACAATTCTTGCTGAGATGCAAAAGCGAAAATCAACAAATTCTATAGATAAAATTGCAGGACTATCATTCCTTTGTTGGTCAGAGAAAATACCAGCATACTATGAAAATCAGTCTGTGGAAGATGCATGGACAGCACTAGTCAATGTAATGGCTATGGAAAAGCGAGGAGAATTGTTCTTCTGGTATCCTGAGCCAGGAAATTCAGGTGTAAAATGGAGACCAACATGGGACCAGATTATGACATATCTTCCACCTGCAGATGTCTCAAATGAGATGCTTGTTTGGTGGGATGAAGAATGGGATGTAGACTGGCACCATGGACCTTGTATTGAGAAGGGGTTTGTGCAGGGGTTAGCTGTGCAAGATGAGGAAATAATTGATCGATATGGAGAGCTGATTGTTAAAGATAACAAAGAGAAAGAACATATATTTAAAATCATTGCATCTCACAATTATCTCATACCTGAAAACACATATGTACTACTTGGTACTCGGCTGAATCATGAGCTGGATCTTGAGTGTTCAGTGCAACATTGGGCTATTGGACATAGAGTGCCATCTACTAAACAGTTTGAGAAAGTGTCAGTATTTAAAATGGCTGATAAAGAAGCATGGAGATTAAAACATCTGAATGTTACTAAAGACTGTGATATTGTTTTTATTTGAGGTGAACATACATTGTGTAGTAGCTTTAAAGTACTATTTTCAAGTTAAGTAGCTAATAAATCTATTACTCACTATATAATATAGTGAAAATGTAAAAATTGTATTATAAATCCAACATCTACTGATATATCTGCCAGGTGAATAGTCTAGAAATTTGCTATTATATTTATTATAAGAAAGAATACAATAAAGCAAGAATATATATAAGTAAAAAACACTGGTAAGTAGCTGACAGTGAGATTTAGTCAAAACAAGGTCTTCTGAGTAAAAGCTTGCTGAATAATGTGCAGCCTAAGGTGTTAGTGACTGATTGAACAAACAAGATCAAACAACTACATGTGACTCGCATTTTGGTCAGGCACATATGAGTTGCTCATAGGTTTGTTCTCAGGGAGCATGCATGCTTAGTATTTGAGAGTGAGTTCTAGCCAAGTTATCGGGTGAATAAACTTTAGTTTGAGACTGAGGTTTAGGACCTGCAGTTGAGCTACTTATATACAGTTTGGGTCATGCTATGTATAGTACAAGAGTCTGTAGCGGTGTGGACAACACATGGTACCAGCATAGCATGATGCGATCAAGGTTGGAATATTAGCATAGCAGGATTATGATGGGAGCAATAAGATAAGATATCCAGTGAGATCGTGATATT